ATGGAAGGCTCTGAATACGGGGTCTCTGGAGCAGCTTGAGAAGGTCAAAGGGCAGGAAATTCTCATACCAGATGATATTTCTCCAGGGTTTTGGAAGAGAAGTTGCCTGAAGTTGCTAAGATAGGTTTGAGAACACCCAGTGTAGTCGTCCCTAAACTGCTTCCAAAGAATGGAAGGGCACTTCAGAAATAGTGATCTACGAGCCTTGGTGTTTGAAACCTCTTAATTTTGGTGATGCAGCAGGGGAAGCATCTTTTTCACCTAGCTTCATCAGGTGCCTAGGGCTGAGGAGCACAAGAGTGATGTGAAGGGCTTGAGGAAGATTGAAAGGTGAAGAGCTGTGGAGGAGCACCCACCTCTGATCCTGGGCAGAGTAGGCAGGGTCTGCAGATGCTGCTGGACACTAGCCTTCTGCTAGTACCTGTCCTGCTGAGGTCCACTTGCGTCTTTCACCTCCGGAAGCACTAAGAAAACTGTACTGAGATGTCCTAGGCAGCTTTCCTCAACCTTGGAGAGGTAAGACCAGGAAGGTGCCCTTTAAGCACTCTAGTCAGTGCAGCTCCTGGTGACTGTTTTCTGATAATAACTGTGGGAGTGAGCATGCTGTGACACCTAAGAAATTGTTGTTACAGGGTTTCTTGGCAAACCCATTCCCTTTGCTCCTGATGCAAGGACATCAGTGTGTGGGCTCTTCACCAGAAGTCTTTAAAAGATCCATTCATCAATTGGGGAAACTCTTTGTTCCATAAAGCCCTTGGGGCTGGAGGAGTAAAGCAAAAAACAAGCTGTCAGGAAGCTTTTAAGTGTCCTGTGTTTTGCATCGAGATAGCTGTTTGCATTCTGTGCATACCCTGCATGCCATGCTGTTTCCAACCTGCCTGCTTCAAAGAAAACTTAAGGTCTCCTCTTCTTCCCCAGCAAGGAGCTCCAGGCCTGAGTGGAAATTGGATTTGAGGCATTCCTGATGCAAAACAGGGAACATGTCACTCCTGACAGGCCTTTAGGAGATGCTGGAAGGCTGTGTCCATAGTGTCCCTCTGTAATTGGTGCAGCTGCCCAAATCCTCATGTGGTTCTAGGAGCTTCTAACGCAGACCTGCCCTCACAACCAGTTGTAATGGTATAACCACCTCCATTGCTAACTGTCCTGCCTTGTTTGGGCTGCAGTGGTCTGGAAGACACTCCACAAGGTGCTCAAGGAGTAGGAGATCATCTGGGTTGGGCACATCCTCCATCACTTACAAGGAGATGGTGGTAAAATCTGGTATTTGACCATGCATGAACTTGATTTCACCCTAAAGTCAAATGGGTCAAACACAGCTCTTCTCTGGGTGCTCAGCCCCTTTCTATGAGCATGTTAGTGCTGGTGCTTCACCATGATGTGCCCTCCATCACCAGGAGCTGTGCTCCCTAACCTGGCTCCTATGTTCCCGTTCTGCTGCAGAGCCTGATGTTAATTTTGGTGTTATTTTTGTTTTCATGGGAACTCGGATAATTCATCAGTTGTGAAGTGCACCAGCTGTCTTCTTGGAACGCAGCACTGGAGGAACTGCTGGTACCTGAGCTTTATTTAACTCACCTCTGCAGAAGATCAGCAACTTCTAAATATAAATATATGTGTATATATATATATATATATATATATATATATATAGTTAACCCTTGCCTGCTTTCAAGTTACTCAGGATAGCACCTCCCTGCTTCTCATCTCTCTGTCTTTACAACCTCCTGTGCACAGAAGAGGGGGGAGATGATGTGAGCGTGACCTTGCTGTTAAGTCCCTGAGCCCCCCAAGGAGGCTGCTGTGGGATCACTGGGCACCAAGAAGTACCAGAGGCAGGTGCAGAAGCTGCTCTCACCTCACCCAGTTAATTAAAGGGATCAGTTTTTGTTTGTTTTCTCCCAGTGCTCGCGGTTTGAACCCAGCACACGGGTTTAATAAGGAGCTGAAAGCACTGGTGCCAGGCACAGAGGGAGCTGTGTGCAGCTTTGCAGCCCTTCTCCTCTTCACCGTTGCTCATCAGCTGCTTCCCCTTCTGCCGGGCCAATGCCACTGCTCGTCCCCATCTGTGGTACAGCCTGCCAAGTTGTGCATTGTGGTTTTATTTTCTTTAATCTTGTGGATGAACTTCCAGCAAGCATGAGCAGTGCTGCACTGCAAGGCTTTTGTTTGCAAGCCAAGGTAGGGCTTTCTGAGTGGGAAGAGTGTTGGGGAAGCAGGCTTAAACTCCCAGTTCCTCTTCCTTGTGTGATCCTCAAGTGGTGCCAAAGCCCTGCAATAATATAATGAAGGGCTGGTCTCCCTTCTTTTACCAGGAACCAGACCTCCAGCATGTGTGCCCTATGAAATGTGGGATCTGGGAGCTTCTGCTTCAAACAGGAGACCTCTTAGCGCTCTGCTGGCTTGGCTGTGGCCAAGCAGCCGCAGCTCCCGCTGCATGTGCAGAATCATAGAATAACAGAATGGTTTGGGTTGAAAGGGACCTTAAAGATGACCTAGCTCCAACCCCCCGACATGAACAGGGACACCTAATGATTTTGAAACATTGCTTGTCACGATGTAATGGCAATGTTTTGCTGGACCAAAAGGAACAGCTTGTTTAGCTCATAACTCTCTTGTTTTGGGTTGTCTGACCCTAGGGAGTCTCTGGTTCCCTTTTAGCTGCAAATCCTTCTAAATGTAGTAAGCTGAGGAGATCAGGAAGTCTGGGAGATGTTGAAAGTTTGTGCTCTGCAGGGTCTACCACTTTGCCATATAAATCCCCTCCAACATGCATGAGCGAGCCTTTGGTCAGATGTGAGACATCACAGCCTGATGTCCTGTTGCCTCCTGAATGAAGGAACTGCTCCTCTTCCTCCCCCAACTTCCCAGGTTGGAAACAGAATCCTGCCAATTGGAGATTGTCTGTAAAATCACAGAATAACGGTGATTCCTGTGTGCCTGGGGTTGGCATCTCCTTCTGCAAGAAAGCAATTGCTTGATCCTCCAAGATCAACCTTCCTGAAAAGAGCTGCCTTTCTGGCTGGGGATTGGTGGTGGTCAGTACAGGTTAATTTGATAAATCCCTCCTTCCAGGGCATGTGTGTGTAAAAATACATGTGAAACTCTGCACAGCAGCTTGTCTTCATGAGGTAGTGGTGCTCTTGGCCTGGGGAAGGTATTGCAGCTACATGCTTATCTCTCCTGTGCTGCTTTTGAGCATCCTTTCTCCCACTGCTGGGGAAAGGTGTTCCTGTTTCATGGTGTTGCATTGATGCAAAGGCTCGGGGGACCTGGGCTTGAAGACATGAGAAGTGTCTGCAAGTCTTCTAATCTGCCTGGGCTCTGTTTTCCAGTCTGCTGGTTGCATTTATCTTGCTGAGCTCCATTCATGTCCTTCCACCATAACTGTGGCACCAGCCATGGTGTGGGTCGGACACTTTGCAAATAGATTCAGCTGCTGGAGAGGGGATGGCATGGCATGGGAAGGGTAGGACTTTCCTGTTGTGCTCCAGGAACTACCAAAGTTGTTTGGTTTTTGTGGTTCCCACACATGCATGGCCATCTGGCTGCTGACCTTCCTCTTCCTGCCTCTCTTGCACTGTAAATTCTTCACCTTTAGTCATTCTTTGCTTTGACTATAAGCCCTTGGGTTGGCTAGTTCTCACTTGCTTCTCCATCAGTAAACTAGCAGGGAGATGGCCCCAGGTATTACCTGTCTGCTGGGAGAAAAATGGTAATACTGAACTGTTGATTTTCCTTCCTGATCAAAGCGCCTTCTGCTGTGTTTGCATCGGAGCTCTCTGCATCCTCCTTTGCAGCAACACAACTGCCCTCATTGCTGCTGAAGGCTTTGCTGACATCTGGGGCAGAAGCACTGCTGGGCAGCAAGTGCCTCAGTTTCTGTTTAAACTGATTAAGCTCATCAACAGTGTTAAATGAATTTAATCTACTTAATTTGCACTGTGGGCTAGTGTACTGTTATTAGGCTAGTGTACTGTTATTAAGATCCATTGGTCTGCAGAGCGTGTTGTAGGCATGTGTAAGCAGTTGGAGGTGGGATGGGTTCTGTGAGCTGGATCCTCAGGGCTCTAGTTGTGGAAATACCTCTGCTTGAAGCTTCTAGGTTTTGACCTCAGGGAGGAATCAACTTGAGAGCTCGCATGACTATCTAATGGTTGTCCATTTGAGGCCTAAATTATTTGGGAGAAGTATAGAAGGAACTTGAATAGGGGGAGAGTTAACATCTGGGTATCAGGGAGGTGTGTGCCCTGTGGAGGGGGCTGACTGCTGACTTTGAGCTCTTGTGGAAGGAGGTGTAAGGATGGATGAACGTAGAATTATAAAATCCTAGAGTGGACCCTTAAAGCTCATCCAGTTCCAGCCCCCTGCCATGGGCAGGGATACCTTCCACTAGACCAAGTTGCTCCAAGCCCCATCCAGCCTGACCTTGAACACTGCCAGGGATGCCTGGAAAGCCACAGCTTCTCTGGGCAGACTTCTGTGAGGTTTGGGTATCATCATTCCTGTCTCTGTCAGCTCCACCACCCATTTTGCTCAGGAACCTGAATTTGCTCCCCTTATTTGCACTGTGTGTTTGTAGTATTGCAGAAGCCTCTCTGGTGACTGAGTAACCGCCTTGTACCCCAAATACTCTTTTTTTCCCTGTCCTTCCTATGTACCCTCCTGGGATAATTTTTTCCCCTGGTTGTGGATCTCTCGTGTTCCCATACTGAGTCTGTCATTGGGTTGAGACCTAGAAGGGAGCTGGGCTGAAGTTCAGAGCTTTGCAAAACCACTTGTGTCCATTACTAGCCGCCTCTGCTTGGCTTGCCAAGACATCACCTTTATCCTGCTGAGCTCTGGCATGACCCTGTCTTTTCTGACAAGCACGGGTTGCTGCCAACTCCTGGCCACTGCCTGCAGCTGCTATTGCAGATATGCCCCTCACTATTGAGAGCCCATGGTCTGTCGTGGCAAGGATGTGTCTCACTGCTCTGTGCTCTTCCCTTCCTCCCCAGGGAGCTCAAACTACGAAACTACGATCCTGAAGATGAGGAGCTTAAGAAGAGGAAGATGCCGCCAGCCAAGCCAGCCTCAGGTGGGTGCAAGGGGGTGCATGGGAGGTGACACAAGGAAGGACAACAGCAGAAGCATTGCCAGAGGTGGTGCCATGGTGAGGTTCCCTGTGCTTTACTCTCTTCTGGCGGCTTTCAGACAAGGCAGATCATATAATCAGACTGGTTTGGGTTAGAAGGGACCTTAAAGACCTTCGAGTTCCAGCCCCCTGCCATGGGCAGGGACACCTTCCATTAGACCAGGTTGCTCCAAGCCCCGTCCGACCTGGCCTTGAACACTGCCAGGGATGGGGCAGCCACAGCTTCTCTGAGCAACCTGTGCCAGGGCCTCACCAGCCTCACAGGGAAGAACTTCTTCCTCAGGTCTCATATAAGTCTTCCCTCTGTCAATTTAAAGCCATTCCCCCTTGTCCTGTCCCTACCTACCCTTGTCAAAAGCCCATCTCCAGCACTCTTATTAGCCCCTTTAGGCACTGGAAGCTGCTCTAAGTTGTCCCCAGAGCCTTCTGTTCTCCAGGCTGACCAAGCCCAGCTCTTTCAGCCTGTCTCCATAGCAGAGGTGCTCCAGTCCTTGGAGCATCTCCATGGCCACCTCTGGACTTGCTCCAACAGCTCCATGTCCTTATATTGGAGTCCCAGATCTGGACACAGGATTGCAGGGGGCTCTCACAAGAGCAGAGGGGGAGAATCCCCTACCTCACGCAGAGCCCTTTGCAGGGATTCACTGACTGCACATCCCATCTCCTTCCCGTTCACCAGTCTCCCACACCAGAGAGAATGAGGCAACACTTGCCATTGTGAGGACAAAATAAACCAGCATGGGACTTTGCATCCAGCCAGCATGCTGTAGAGTGGATGGGTTGTACCCTTCCTTTCTAAAAGTCAGGAGGCTTGGAAAACTCTCTGCTCCTGATCACTTCAGCTGAAGGTGCAAAAGCCACTGGATGTATTCTGTTGGTAGCTTGCTGGTGAGGTGTTTAGGTCCTAGGAGATGACTGTCTGCAGCCCTGGAGGGTGATGGCATGTCTGAGCAGCCATGGTGGGAGTGCCAGGAGCTCTCCCACTGCTGCTGGGTGAGTGTGATGCTTGCGGCCCATGTTGCCTCATCATCCTCTCACCTGTGAGGACTGCACACCCTGTGTTGCACAAGTGGGGTGTGTGTCTGAGCACACCGGGTCCAGCCCCAAACCAGAGGGTTGACACTCAGGGGAGCTGAGCTCTCGCTGGAGGGTGCTAAAGGAGACTCTGGCTGTTTTTTGTTTATCTTTAAACAAATATTAGTCATGAGTCCAGGGTGTTCAGTCTGCTATTTCCTAACACTGAACCTCAGCCCAGCTCTTGAGAGGGAAGCAAAGGGTAGATCTTCCCTTGATCTTGAAATATTAAGTCCTCCTGAAATAGATCTTTTTAAAAATGCCCTAAATCAAAAGGCTGCCTCTGGGAGCATAGCAGAGATCTGCTGACACTCTGCTTTCTTGGTACCTTTGTAAAAGTTTAAAACTTCCCCCGATTGTTCCCTGGAGTGTCATTTGGAATTGGGAACAGGAATTTTGGCTGTTTCCAGTAAAACTCGCCCTCTCAGCAAGCCCTTCTTTGGAGCTGCAGTCCCCATTGGCTGCCGTTCCTGTGTCTGGAGCATCCAGCCTGTCTGTCCTTGGGCACTTTGTGGGAGGGAGAAGGACAGAAGGGCCGAGGCTCACTGTATTTCATATTAAATGTGCCTTGGGCATATCTGCTTGCTGGACCAAGATTCCTGCCACAGGGATGTGCTCTCCCTGGTCCCCACACCCCCTCCTTGTGCAGGCACAGTGTTGAAGGATGGAGGGCTGTTTGCCATGCAAGCTTTGCCATAATCCTTGGTATCTTTTTGTATGGTTTGGGTTGGAGCTTGATTTCCCCAGGTTGTCTCAGGTGGTGGCCTTGTAAATGAGTCACAGTGAGTCAAATGCCACTTGCGGAGCAGCTGGTCCCTGCAGGTTTTATGGAAAGAAGGCTGGAACCGAGCAGGCGACCTCTTGCTTCTGTTGGTATTTGTGGCATTTAATGGTTGTTGAGTTTGCATCATTTCCAGGTGATTTTTGGGAGTCTCTGAAAGGGTTTGGGTGGTGCGAGTACACATCCTGCTTGTACTCACTTGTATGTGCCATGCTCTTAGGGCAGAGATGTTCAAATGGGCTTTTGTGAACCAAGTCAGAGTTCTGGTGGGTTTCCCTGTTCCTTGTCCTCTTGGTGTCCTGCTGCTGCACCCTGCGCTCATGCTGGTCTTGTTCCCCCATCTAGTGGAAGACAAGGTGAAGGACCAGCTGGAGGCTGCCAAGCCAGAGCCCATCATCGATGAGGTGGTACGTATATTGCAAGCCATTCTGTGCTGGGTGTATCTGTCTGTGTCCAGGCTTGAACCTTGCCTGCAGCTCTCACTGGGTGTCTCCTCTTCTTCCCTAGGATTTGGCAAACCTGGCCCCCAGGAAACCAGACTGGTGAGTGCCTGCCAGAGCCCTGCTGTGGGTGAAAGGTTGTTGGCATCAGTGCTGGGTTATTACCAGCTCGAGGTTGTCCAGGTTGGGTTAAAACCGCTAGAAGTGGGAAACCCAGCCCTGCTTTGAGGAAGATTCAAAGCATGGGACTGTCTTCACTTTTCCTGCTTCCACGAGGCGGCTCTGCTGATCCCTCTGGGATGCTTGTCACCATGGTGGACTCATCGACAAGGAATGCTAGGGCATTGAGTGGTTTGCCCATCAGAGTGTTCTCCTGATGGGGGAGATACTCTGCTCCATGGTGCTCACAGGAGAGAGAATGAGTTTCTCTTCCACTGGGAAGGGTGTAATGTAGCCCTTGATTTCACATTTCCCTGGGGTGAGGATTTGTTCTGACATTGTCTCTTCCCTCTCCAGGGATTTGAAGCGAGATGTAGCCAAGAAACTGGAGAAGCTGGAGAAGAGGACGCAGAGAGCCATTGCTGAGCTAATAAGTGCGTTATGGTGGCGGAGGGATGGTGTACGTGGGGGTCACCATTTGTTCCAGAGGCATTACACGATGCTTGCTGGGAGCTTGGTGTCTTGCTGTTGGGCCAGGAAGGCACTGGCAGAGTTTGGTGGTCTTCCCAAAAGGGTCTGGGAAGCTGTTGGTCCCACTAGCTTCCCTAAGGCTGCATGCATGCTTGGCTTGCATGACTGGGGGGATGGTCTGTGGGCTCGGGGATTCATGTCCTCCACCTTGTAGGATCCCCAGTACAGCCGGTTTATCACTAAGCCACTGATGTTTTTCACTTGCAGGAGAGCGGTTGAAAGGGCAGGAGGAGGAGCTGGCATCTGCTGTTGGGTCAGCAAAGCAGGAGGGAAGTGACTCTGACTGAGGAGGTCCATCAGGCAGCGTCGGGCTTGGGATCTGCCAGCGATGCTGATCCTGTTGCTCTCGGGTAGAGGCACCTTGTTGGGACATGCTGCTCACCAGCCCTTAGAGTGCCAGAGCCATGACCATTTCCCGGAGAACTGGTTCTCCTCTTCCTGAACAAAGATGCCTTTTTCAAGGTGCTTCTTTCTGTGGAAGAGCTGGTGTTAACTGCCAGCTGGGGAACAAAGAGGTGTCTTCTCTAGAGAGCTGGCTGTGTGTATTTGGGAGCATCCATGGTCAGACCCAACATGTGCAGGATATCTCTCGTGGAAGTGGCTGAGTGGCTTCGGACCCAATCGCTGCTTGATGTTAATTTACGATCTGTTCCTTGAAGTTTCCTGACCCTCCTGGGCGGTGCAGTGTGTCTCTGTAGATACACCACTTCTGTATGTTTTGTAATTGACAAAGTTTGTTGTTAACAAATCTTTTAATAATAAAACAGTCCCACAGTGGAAGAAGTTGTCACTTGTTCTGCAGAGGACTGGGTAGAGGCAGCTCATAGAATCCTTGAGCACTTCCAGGGATGAGGCAGCCTCAGCTTCTTTGGCCAACCTGTACCGGTGCCTCCTCACCCTCACAGGGAAGAACTTCCTCATATTAGCCCATCTCAATCTCCCCTCTGTCAGTTTAAAGCCATTCCCCCTTGTCCTGTCCCTATCTGCCCTTGTTAAAAGCCCATCTCCAGCTTTTTTGTTGGCCCCTTTAGGCACTGGAAGCTGCTCAGAGGTCTCCCTGGAGCCTTCTCTTCTCCAGGCTGAACAAGCCCAGCTCTCTCACCCTGTCTCCACAACAAAGGTGCTTCAGCCCGTGGAGCATCTTTGTGGCCTCCTCTGAACTCACCCCAACAGCTCCATGTCCTTCTTGTGTTGTTGCCCCAGAGCTGGATGCAGGGCTGCAGGTGGGGTCTCACCGGAGCAGAGTAGAAAGGGAGAATCTCCTCCCTCGACCTGCTGGTCACGCTGCTGGTGATGCAGCCCAGGACACGGTTGGTTTCTGGGCTGCAAGTGAACACTGCTGGGTCATGGGGAGCTTCTTGTCAGCAAAGCTCACCTCATCTCTCTTATGTCTGTGGGGACTTAAGACCACTGTTTGATAGTCCCTGGCCCCTTTGCTTCCCTGGGATGAGCAGCAGTGGGCTTTGAGGTGGCTGAGCTTGTAGCTACAGCAGTTCTAAGCACAACTCCTGGGCTATGATGTGGGGTGATGCCAACCCGATGTGGCTGGAAGAAGCAAGGGAGTGGGATGCTGCAAAGCTGACCCTGCACTTTTCCCAGGAACCTTTGCTGTGCCTCTGGGAAGTCTTAAAGGCTGGGTACCTTGGTCAGGCCTGATTGTACGGGGTCCTGAATCCTCTGTGCTTGGTTCAAAGTGTTCTTATCTTGAGGTAAGACATCTGGGGCATATGGCTTTGACAGCAGCATTGACAGAAGAGTTCACCTGTGATAAAAATAACTTCCTGTCAATGCACACATCCTGCTGCTTTTAAATGCTTGTTGAAAAGAGCTGCTGGAGGGGGAGAGGTTCTTCATGTGGCAGCAGCCTGCCTTGGAGGGGAGTGACATTTCTGCCCCTGAGCCTGCTGGAGGCTTGGTGGCTGGAGTGGCCATCTCAGATTATCCCCAGCTGGACCAGGTCTCCACACAGAACACAATCAATCCCAGCCATGCTAAATACAGACTGATCAATGCTTGTCCCTCTGCCAGGTCTGCTGCTACTGCGAAACTGCTGTGTGGTTGCATGTGATGAGTGAGTTTCAGGGGCTTTCCACCTGTAAGAGCCCCCTTCCTGATTCCAGATGAAGGGCAAGGAGCGAAGAGCTGGTGAAATTCTCTCTTGATCCTCCAATTTCCATGCACAAATGGCTTCTTAAAGCCTCCATCCCTAGCTGCCTCCCCTCTCCCTTGGTGTGCTGGTTCCTGGTGTTTGCAGCCATCCCTGCTGCAACCTCCCCTCAGCCTGTCACCCCTCAGAGGGGCCCTTCCGTGGTACATGAGGACAACAAAGAGATGGAAACCAATGGAGCAAGGGGAGATCAGTACCCACCTGACCAGTGAGTATCCACCACTGTGCTTGAACTGTTGATGTGTGGCTGTGAATTCCCTCTGGGCTCTCTAGTGGGAAAACACTAGGAGTGAAAGCCCAGCCATCTTCCCGAGTGTCATTTTTGTCTTATTTTTACTTATTTTTGCTCTATTTTACCCTGGGCAGGAGGCAGCCAAGTGCCCTCTACCCCTGTTTGTGGGCAAGAAAGCCAAGTTCATAGGTGTGAAGGTGCCACATAGACACAGGTGGGTGCTGCATGTCGTGGGTGCTCCTGTCCAGGTAACATTGCATTGTGGGTTCATCATAGAAAATGGGGGTGCATCTGCTCCACAGGGATATCCTTGGCACTGGGCAGAGCATGTGGTGATGCTTCAAAGATGCTTAAAAAAGAAAAGGACCCAGCTTGTGATGGTCTCCAACATGGCAGTGAAACTGTGGGTCAAGATGAGTGTTTGGTGATCACCGGTGTTTGTAGTTAGTTAGTAATGACCTGGGGCTGTCACACACCTTAAAGTGCATTTTTCCACTGGGAAGGAAACTGGAGAGTGTGAATATGCATCCTCCAAGCAGCTACAGCCTCATCTCTGTGAAACGCCCTGTAGATGTCAGCAAATATCTATGCATAAAACCACTCTGCATCCAATCCCAGTACCTGGACCCTGCTCCTCTGTCCGTCTGGCTGCGTGGTAGCAATGCCACCTTTCCCTCTGAACCCAGGCTGATGACCTCTGCTTTGAAATACATGTCCCGTATGAATATGAACACAATGTGCAGGGAACAGTTATCATAGAATCATAGAATCACAGAGTAGTTTGGGTTGGAAGGGACCTTAAAGCTTCCAACCCGCTGCCACAGGCAGAGACACCTTCCACCAGACCAGGTTGCTCCAAGCCCCTGTGTCCAACCTGGCCTTGAACACTGCCAGGGATGGGGCAGCCACAGCTTCTCTGGGCAGCCTGTGCCAGGGCCTCACCACCCTCACAGGGAAGAACTTCTTCCTCAGATCTCATCTAAATCTCCCCTCAGTCAATTTAAAGCCATTCCCCCTTGTCCTGTCCCTACCTGCCCTTGTCAAAAGCCCCTCTCCAACTTTCTTGCTAGCCCCTTTAGGCACTGGAAGCTGCTCTAAGGTCTCCCCAGAGCCTTCTCCAGGCTGAACCAGCCCAGCTCTCTCAGCCTGTCTCCATAGCAGAGGTGCTCCAGCCCTCGGAGCACCTCTGTAGCCCCTCTGGACTCACTCCAACAGCTCCACGTCCTTCTTAAGTTGGGGCTGCAGAGCTGGATGCAGGCCTGCAGGGGGGTCTCACCAGAGCAGGGTAAAGGGGGAGAATCCTTCATCTGCTCTGCAACAGTGAGAAGCAGATGGGTTTTTCCTCCATGACTTTAATTCTCCTTAAACTGTTGCTGATTGCCAGCCCAGCTTCCCGGAGCAAACCTGTGCTCCACCCAGCAGCAAGCACCCTTCTCAGGCCTGCATGGGCTGACATTTCTTGAGCTCATTTGCAGCAGTGTTTCAACCCTGTAAAGCATTTAAACAATTAAAAGCTGCTTTTCTCATGCAAGGAAAAGAGTTTTGAAGGGCTCATTTTCGCCGTCAGCTCTTTGTGAAAATGTCATTTGGAAATGAAAAATAAGCATGCATCTCCTTCTAGGATAAGCCAAAATAAAGTGTATTGACTTTTCCGTTTTCCATGTGGAAGGTGTCCCTCCCAGCCCATGGCAGGGGGGTTGGAACTGAATGGTCTTTAAGGTCCCTTCCAACCCAAACCAGTCTGTGATTCCAGCCTTAAATTCAGCTGGGATGAGCCCTGGACCCCTGGGTTCGCAAACCCAGCTGTTTTCAGATGGATAATGGGTTCCACAGACCTCAAGCCAGTGCATGGGAGCCTGACATCATCACGCTTTTGGGAGCATCCCTGCAGCCATCAGAAGCACTGACCCAGCTGTGGTCTCTTCTGGCTGGAAAATACCTGCCCTGAGTCTTACTTGCTTTGCTGAGGAGGCAGATTCTTCTCCCTTGTTCCGATAAGCACCTCATTTTCTGTAAACCTTTAAACCAGCATTTCTCAGCCATGCAGGGCACCCAGCTGCTTTGAGTCCTGTGGGGAGCACGCCTGTAAATAGCTACCCATATCCAAAATGGAGCATGGACACCCCCTTCCTGGTGGGCCACATCACCCAAAGTGGGACACGAGGGGCTGGGCTTGTACTTGGAAGAGAGTAGTGGGGAGGAACAGCAGGATCAGGCTCTTTCTAGTGAAGCCTTGCAGTGAAACATCACTTATCCTGGTATGGGACTCGGACCCCATCATGAGATGTGGGTCCTGGCATGGGTCTGGGATCTGGGCATGAGACAGGGATCCCAGCATAGTACTGGTGTCCTGACATGGGACCAAGATCTGGGTATAAGACAGGGGTTCTGGCATGGGACTGGGGTCCTGGAATGGGGCTGGGGACCCTGCACAGAGCAAGGGTCCAAGCATGGGACTGGCATCCATCCATGGGACATTAATTCCCACATGGTACAAGGATCCCAGCATGGGACTGAGGTCCACCTGTGGGACAGGGATCCCAGAATAGGACTGGGGTCCCTATGTGGGAACAGGGTCCCAGCATGGTTCAGCCCTGGGGCTGGTATGCAGATCCCAGAGGACTAATTCCTCCTTCCCTGGGGCACTCCCTTCCCCAGCCTGGGGTAAAATGGGAGTGTGTGTGGAAGGGCTGGGAGAACAGTAGCATTTGGAATGTAACACCAAACTCTACATCCCATGGATTTAATTTATTCCCTGGGTGTGTGGCTGGATGGGGAGGGGTCTTCTGCCTTTCAAAGGTGGTGTCCCAAACCTGTGTTTATGCCTTTTAAAATCCCAAACAATGCTTCTCATGCTCCAGAAACGATTTTTACTTAATTGGGGAGGGATTATGTATTGCAGGTGTTCCATGGACCCACCTGAAGCCTCTTGGACAGCGTAGTGCTCTGTGCTCATCCTGTGCCTGAATCCTTGACATGCTGCCATAGTGGAAACACTTGGATAAAAGGCTCTGGTTTGCTTTGCCCTGGTTTCCCTTCATGACACTGAGGCCAGAATTATCTATTTCTCAAGCAAAACAGATCAGAAAGGGCAGGTGAGAACAGCAAGTAAATAACCCAATGGGATAATCCCTTCAGATCCAGGGAAGCCAAAGGATTAATGTTTAATCTGTGCCTCTTGGGGGATTCCTCTGGGTCACTGAGCTGCTGTTCCATGCACACCACCATAGATACCACAGGAGGTGCCTCATCGTTGAGCTCCGCTGGAGAGGGATGTTTTTCCTGTGCTGTTTTTTGATAGGGAAGCAGTGGCCCGTGTGGGTCTGCAGGCGTGAGCTGGTCCTTCTGGAAACCTTGGGATAATTTGGGAGAATAAGCTTCATTATGTCTTCT